ATCAGAGATGAACAGAGAGAAAAGTCTACTAGCATTTGACAAAAACCCTTTCTTCTCCCTCCCTCCCCAATCTCCTAAGAAAAGTAAAGAAATGAAGACGCAATAATCATACTCCCATTTGAAATGTGGAGTACATAAAAACACTCAATCCATCTTCCATATATGGTAAAAACATAACACACGAGAAAGACATTGGTTAAGACTCAACTCATATGCAGCAGACATGAAACACACGATAAAATATTTAAAATTGCTTTGCCATTACAATTTTGCAATTCTGCTGTAGAGGAGGTTTTAGTCAGCTTTAGCTACTGTAGAAAGCAACCACTGCTTTAGGCTAGTGTGAACAGAGCTCTTTTTTGAATTCTTCTTCTCTTTGCCTTTCTTTTTTCTTTTAGCTTGTTTGATTGTTGTCCTTTCTTTGTGTCAAAGTTGGGGGTTGATAGGATAGGAGTGAGGCTCGGCCATACATGGAGTACCGTCTTGAAGCCTTGAGTTTGGCATTATGGTCGTTGCATTACTTCTTTTTTTGATCCAGCAGCTGCGTGTTGAGCTGCTCTCATTAGCTGCACAATTTTGACACACAACCTGGCAATGCAGTAACAGAATCTGGATTCATATCTGATCAGCATTACCTAGTTTGACAGTTTGATCTGAGTTTGGTGCATTGAGCTGGACGGATTTACTGAGAATGACCTGTCAATCACAAGGTAGCCACGCCCTAAAGCATACCCTGCTTTATGGTCTATTTTACTCTAAATGGGACCATCATTTACTAAATGCTGTATGGAAGAAGACTGAAAACAGAGATTGAGACCATAAACTCATTAGGAAACTGTTTACTGAGCTAATAGCTGTGTCCACACAGGAGGTGTTTCAGCCACATTTTTCAGTCGTCAGTCTCATATGTGTCTGATGGAGCAGATAATCCCCTATTGTAACCAATCCAGCTGTTTAATTTTGCGCTGTACCAACACAGGTCGTCAACTACCAACATTGCTTTGTCACGCCAAGAAGCAAAAGGTACACATGGAGCACTTTCACACTTCTGCACGTGTGAATGAATATCAGACATTACAGCAATTGTTGGAGAGGGACCCCCCTATTCCACCATGGCAAAAGTATGGGGAAAAGAGATTTCTGAAGCTGTTTATCCACCAGACAAGCCCTTCTGATAAAGCACATACTGGCAACTTCATTGCGCACTGAAAATTGCACAGCTCAGGTTTCAAGAGGTTGCTAATTGATTTTCATACTAATGGCTGCTGGGAACTGAAGATCCAAAATGTATTCATCCAGCATGCATTTGTCATTGTTTGGGGGTAAAAATGATATATGATTTGTGGTTAAGGTGCTAAAATGTATGATATGGTCCTTTGAAATCTCAATATTGGTTACAAGTATGCGATGCAAATCCTTTATCTAGCATCCACTACCACAGCCTCCACATCATTTGGCTTTTGCACTGTATGAACCTTTTACTGAATTCTTAACTGGAACTAAACATTGCCAGTCAACATCACTTGCTAATTTCAGATTACTCTAGTTTCATAAAAACTTTCTAGCAGATGTGGTTGAATTGCAGACGCCTGCCATAGGTATAAATAATGCACCGTCAACATAATGGATCAAGATTAAATCCATAGGCAGAGAATGCACACATCTACATTGGGCCAATTCATTAAACAGACTTAGTAAGAAGTAGACTGTATTCTGCATTCAACTCTCCCATACATATAAGGAGGCATGCAATTTTTTGTCTAATTCTATCAGACACACTCCCATATCAGTACACAAGCTGAGATTAATGCTGCTGGCTATTTTCACTCTGTATGAGCTCCTACAACCAAACAAAGTGATGCAAGTCTGTTTACCAGCTCTGAAACACCGCAGGAGATCTAGTGTGAAGCAACCTAATAGGATTTGCACTTGTACATGTTTCATGATTCTCAAACAAAGAGGAAAATCTATGATGCAATTTTGGATTACTGGTGGAAAAGGATTATCAATTAATAAATGAAGGGATGACTGAATAAATCAATAAATGAATGATGGATTCACCCAACAGTGGCTAACCTGTAGCTGGAGGGAAACACATGAAGACGTACTCCAGTTGCACACTATAAAGCTTTGTCATCTTCAACACATCAATCCAGGACGATTAGTTCAAACCCACATACAATTCAGTATATCTTCACTCAGTCAGCGCTCACTGCATCAATGTGTGGCACATTTATAGTAAGTACAGCACAGTGTTACCTCTTTTAAACCTGTCATAAAGACTGCCTTATTAGAAAGTAGTACCAGTGGAACTATGGAATATCTTTGTACAATGTTGAGTCCTCATTAAGAAATATACTGTAAATGTCCAGCTCTAGACTGTCAGTAGACACAGAGTGCTGATACTGAACTATGCAGAGCTCAAACAATAGGCCAGGCAGGCCGTCCAGGCCAAAAAGGCCTTGGCTGGACAGATTCTCCTCATGCCGATGTTATTACTGTCGGTGGTCTGTGATGGCTGTTAGCCGGCTGAGCCCAACAACAAAAGGTGGTTTTATCCTGTTAGCAGAGCGCTAACGTGTCTAATTCCTCTCTAGCGGATCAGTCTGTCTCTTTGGTTGCAGCAGGCAGAGAAAAGCAAGAGAATACTGAGTTGTAGCACAGTGCAATAGTCCAAGACACGCAGATCGATCCCATCTATGTGGGTACATCATAACAAGGTTGAAGACTGCAAAGTGTTTCGCTCTGCTAGCTCCAAGGTCAGCCAGTGATCCCGGCCTGGGAGGCAGGGTGAAATGAAACCTGCAGAGGCATGTCAGAAATGTTAATTCTGGTTGACCAGGCATAAATAACGTTGTCAGAGGAATTAGAGTTTGTTCCTGTGCTCTGAGTTCCACTGACACGGCAAGAAGGTTTTGGTGGAGTGCCTGCACTACCACTTCTCCAGGAAAAACGGTTTTCTGAATTGTATAAATATGTGTTTTGACTATTGGTCTAGTGACGCAAGGGTTGAAGGGCACAATTTAAAAGCACTTTAGAAGGCTCAGCTCTTTGGTTCTCTGAATTATTTTCCATAAATACTTCATTGTGCTTCAATTTTCCTCTTACAGACACACACATAAAGCTCTAGTATGAGATTTCTTTTTTCTTTAGCACCACATGGTCTGCGGTGACATCACTGACCCAGGGGAAGCCAATTTTCCTATTTTTGGTGACAAGCAGCCAGGAAAATCCTCTCTGTTTCCATCTCTCCCACTCTCTATCAAAGTCTCTCTCCATCACCCCCTCTCTTTCATCTGAGCTTTTAACACAACAGATAAGATAGGAAAAAGGTCGGGGGGTGAGATGCATGAAGGCTGTCGCAGTTTGGTGGGGCTACTTGCTTGTAACAGATGCGTGTATCACAGGACTGTGAGGTAATGCTGCTCTTCAGTGGCCACAGAGGGTGAAGTTTTGGTTCTCTTTAATGTTTTCAGCAGCCTATTATTCAGAAGGGTGATATCTGCGGCCTGCGCCAGCTAACTGCTGGACTCTTACTGTCTGGAAAACACTGTGTGACATACAGTTTACAGTGGCGCAGAAGTAAAAACGATATCTCTTACTAAGTTTGATCATCCGATGTTGATTTAAAACTAGTTGGTCAGAGAATAAATACAAGAGTAAGCATGACGATAGTCTTTCTGATTGAACTTCCAGTAGTTTCAGTGGTATCTAGTGGTGAAGTTACAGATTGCAACCATTTGAATACAGTTCAGTCTTCCAAGCATGTAAGAGAAACATACTTATGGATATTATATTATATTTCTGACAATAACTACTCCTAAAAGTTTCTCACTGGATCTTCAAGATAATAATTATTTATTCCTTTTGATTTCATGCTATCTGATTAATGGTTTCCTTTTTTTGCTGGAAGTGTTATTGGAGTGTACACGTGTGTGTCATCTGCACAGTGTGTCTGCAGTGTTTTCGTCTATGCTTGAGTCGAGGCAGTTGACAGTTGTTTTACCAGGACTTTTTTACTTTTCAGTGACACCAATTCAAACCAGACTGTGCTAATCTTCTGCTGTGTTAGCTCACTGTGGATATATTTGCTGCCACTGTGTGAACGGAATGATCTCTGCCAGCATGGCACACTTTCAGTATGTCCCACTGGGCCTTTTAGCTTTTTATAGCTTAAACGTTATCAAGAATTTACTGTTGAGTATTTTTCACACCTCCTTGGTTCAGAGCAGTTACTTTAAACCCTGCAGTGAGTTCTCCACGCCCGTTGGGTTTGTTAGTTCTCTGACAGAAATCAATTCAAGATCTTATTGAGAAGAAATTCAAAAACACTCTTGGAGCAAAATGTTTGGAGTGAGAAAGTGATGTTAATCATAGGAAGTGCTGTACATTACAGGTTGATCATGAGATGGTTCTTTTTTACACAAATTTTCTGACCTATCTCTGATTAGGATTCTGTTCAGATGTTACTGTATTAAACATAACAAAGCCAGTGGACAAAAACTTACCCTTACGTGCCAAAGGGTACTGTTTTAAGTAAATTGTCACATGTAGACTGTTAACATTCACATGGTAATTACAATATTAAACCAGGACTAGTGAAGAAATTTCACTTCAGAATCAGAAAAAATATATATTATTTTCCATTATCACACAGTGGAAATTCTGCATTTGATGTTGCTAGTAGATCAAACTTTTTCAATACTGATATCATTATTGGAAATTCCTCCAATATTGCCTAAAAAACATATTAGGTATCGGTGAGTATGCATGTCTGTGCACCCATACCACATTATTTATTAGGCCTGAAAAAGGGCCCTGTTAATATCCAGCAGTGTCCCATTTGCCCCAAGTATAGCGAGGTCATTAACCGCCCTACTTTGACTGATAAAGGGTTTAACCTGAGCCAGGCATACACTTGAGTAAAAACATATTGAATGAAATTAGAGAGTTATTTACAGCTTGTAAATAAGCATGTGTGCTGGTTTGTCCTTCTGCAGGCATCCAGGATGACTCGATCAGATGAAGATAGGGATGTCGGGTGGGACGCCTGGGGCCCCTGGAGTGACTGCTCTCGAACCTGTGGAGGAGGAGCCTCCTACTCTCTACGACGCTGCCTCAATGGAGGGTGAGCCTCATTTAACATCTAACAAAACACACTTTGGAAGCACCTTTGGAATATGAAAATACCTTGTGACAGAAAATCTGATCATTAAAGAGGAAAAAAAGAATCCACCATCCAGTAGCTGCTCCTTGTTGCTGAGACTTGATAAGACTGTTGATAAGACTGTTTAATGACTAAAGCTGTCAACTTTCTGCTAAAGAAAATCTGCTCAACTTACACATTACACTTTGTATACCGCAAAATATTCAAGGTAGGGATATCCTGTTGAATTCTTAAGATACCTGTTGAGCAGATGTTTCCATCTCAATCACTTTACCGGTAGACTCAGCCTTTGATGGCATGTCATATTGAGTCTTTGGAGGTTGCAGACAGAGGTCTTGGTGACCATGATTATCTTTTATGTAATTCATTGATCCCAAACAAGTTAACATTGTAATAGTCAGTGCATTTAGAAATAGCCAAAAGTTTGAGTATAGCTATATATATATATACATATGCATATTTATATATATATGTGCTGTTACTGATAATATAGCGTATATATGTGTATATATATATATGTGTATATATATATATGTGTGTATATATATATGTATATATATATATGTGTGTATATATATGTGTATATATATATATATGTGTTGTATATATATATATATATATATATATATATATAATTAATATAATTAATTAGAGGCTTTATAATTAATTAATCTCAATCAATCGCATATCAATATTTGACACAAAAAGCAAACTTTTTCAATTTAAATGGATTTTGGTATATGATGACACATAAATGAGCTTAAACAACAAAATCGTGTTTATTTTCATCACTGAGTGTTAACATAAAGTGCAATATGAATAAGGTGGTAGCGGAGGCTGGAAGTGCTCCAGTGAAATTGCACATAACTGTGCTTTTATACAGGTTCCACTCGGTTATTTTTTTCAACTAAAACTTCCGCCCACCGAACCCAGCAATGACTTCTCATCGGTTTCCATTTCTCATGTTGTGTCCTGTGCATCAGTATTACGGGTTTGCCGGGAACTCGTGCAACGAGCAACGTTCCGCGCTGTTTGGAGTGCAAAAATAAATTGCGATTAAATGCGTTATGAGAGGGAAAGAAAGAAGGGGCTTGAAACTCTGACAGAATCCAGAACATCTCTATGGGCCGGTGTAGATGGGATGCTGGGAAGTCAAGGAGACGGTGTCTGGGTCAGGTTTGTTCCATATCTTCCTCACACTGATAAAGTGTGTGGGTTTCAAATCTCTGCTGTTTTTAAAAGCTACAATCAGGCTGTCTGCTCTCACAGTCAGCCTGTCTCCGCTCAGCTGTTCGTTGTGCAGCGTTGCTTGTTCAGGAAGTCATCACAGCCAATCTATTTCAGACTGTGCCCCGTGGCATCATTCTACAGCCTTGTGGCAACACATTTGTCTCCATTATATCTGACGGCGGCTCAGCCTCACTTTCTCACCCATGCTACTGCTGAAATTTCTCCCACTTAGGGCATCAAAGTCCTAAGTAAGAACTTTTACATACATATACACCACACAAACAGTAAATACACACAGCAGTGCTAAAGCTTCTTAGTTGGCACCTTGTGGTTATAAGTTGAAGTGAGTAGAACTGAAAGAGAGATAAAAGAGGAGTAAATACACCCTGCAAACTGGCCCCTTGGGGGTTTTCTGGAGGTGGTTTTATGGTTGTGTTTTGTCATATTTGGACCATTTGCTCCACTGAATGTGTCCTGAAGGAAAGGTTTTCTCCTATGGTGTGTAGTTACCAGTGCTGAGAGACAGATGTTTATGGAAGAGCATATCAGCCATGCCCTTAATATTCTAATCCAGGGGCCGTATTACAGAAACATCTGAATTTAAGTCTGAAGTTAAGACAGGAAGAATCTAAGATAGGATGTTTCCCAGTTTGGTCTTACAGAAGCTAATCCTATTTTATCTTACTTTATCCTATCTATTCACAGGTTAGGAAATCCCAAATACTTAATCCAACTTCACTTCTCAACTTTTATGTCTGTTACCTATCAATCAGCACTACTTTTCACATCTTACTGAGCAAAACAACTTTGTAATTGTCGTTTTTTCCTCATTGAAACATGCTGAAACAGTTCCACCTGTTGACATATCATTGGTTTTTAAAAAGCAATAAAAGTGGGTTGAGTCCTTGCTGCAGCGGCTGGACCATGGGTTCAAGTCCCTCTTTCTTCCCCTTTCCTGTCTATCTCAAGCTGTCCTGTCGAATAAAGGCAAAAACATATTTTAAAAAGCAATAAAAGAGCCACATGGATTAAACAAATTATAAAACACTACCTGGTGGTAATGTGAAAGTTAGGAGAGTTTATTTAAGATTTTGGGAAGTTAGATGCTTAGGGAGTGTTCATCTGTAATGGCATTTTTCCTAAATCAGGTCTTAACTCTAATTACCATGGTTACCAAACAGTTAAAGCTGCAGTAGGTAATTTTTATAAAAAATAATTTTCTGTCATATTTGCATATTTACACTATATTCTGACAGTAGTACATGACAATATTAGGTTCCTATGGCTCCTCCTAGTGTTACTAATGGCATTTGCAAGAAAAATATAGGATCTGTTTCTGTAATACGGCCTCTGCTCATCCCCCATTTTCCATTATAGATACTTATTCCAGTATAACCAGGTCACAGGTGTGTTCCACTTAAAGGTCACACAAAGACGAAGTTTGATGACGTTGTGAAGTAGCATGGGATCATGGGAGTTGTTGTCTTCACCACCATTGCCATCATTGCAATCAGCTTTTCCCGGTTAGGATTCCTTCGTTCAGGAGGTTTCTACCGGGAGCCCCATCATATCACCTTTGCATGCACAAAGAAGATAGCTTTACCTGAATAAAATGACAGATTTCTCTGAGTTTGAACATTGTTGCAAAGATTTGGGATAATGTAAGAACACAACTCAACTACATATAGAACATAGCTCTAGCGTTTATAGATATTTTAATGTGGAAATGTTACAACATCGTTTAACTTTGTAAAACTCCCACCAGAAGCATGAAGAGAAACTCTGGAAGAAATTAACTGTTTTCAGAAGTTCAGAAAATTGTGATGAGTAAACTGAACCTAATGAAAAAATTAAAGCCCCTTTTAAATATTGATGTTATTTATAAATAAATGACAATAAATTAAAAAAAAAACATGGTTAGGTAGGCTATTATTTATTTATAGTTTAACACACCAAGACTCTTCAAGTCTCCAAGTCTGTGTGCCAGATTTGATGAACAGTTTTCTGGTAACATAAGCAAACAACCCCACTCGTCATCACATTCATTCCTGATTGGCACAGAAACTTGACCCCACCTTTGTTGAGTCCTGCCAATTAAAATCAGTGAGAAGACCTCAGTCAAAAACGCAAATACAGAAATCTTTCATGTGAAATAACCAACATTCATGCTAATGGGATACAGTCAAGCTTCATCAGAAGACTAATGACAGATGGTCCAAAAAACTATAGTGTTTTGCAGTTTAAATTCCTGCTCAGGTGCTGTTTGTGCCTTTTCACAGCACATTATGTGTTTATATCCGGATAATGTATTTTAACTTGTTAACAACCCTATGAGGCAGCAATTACCACCTACACTAACCAGTTTTCAAAATGATTTTTTTCTTTTGCAGTAGCATCATTATTTTGTGAAAATGACCTTTCGCTTAATACCTCTCTCATTATCATGAGAAAACAACTTTGTTATTCTGGGATGACAGGATAATTAAGCTGTGATCAGTGAGGGTTTCAAAAACATATTGCAGCCACTCAAGGCTTCCGTAGCAGATATTCTGACACATGAATGTAACTCTAAACATCTGATCATACCATGATGCAGCCATTTGAATAAGAGCTCTCACAAAGTGACATCTACATTCATTTCCTGTCCTATTATTAGCATATATTAATATATTGTTATGTCTAGGCCCCCTGCAAGTCCACTATGATAGTATGTCAAAGCTGAGTTTTATCAGTGCGACATGTGCTGGACTGTTTGAAGTCCAATGAGGTTCTGTGTCCTCAGACATCTGAAGACTGGTTGGGTGATCACTGTAAACTCTGATCACATCTCCCAGCGTCTGGAAGTGATTGGGGCTCCTGATTTGTTCAGACTTCCCCCGCATTGGGAGATTCACACTACAGTCATTACAGAAATGTATGTGTGTGTGTCTGTGTGTGTGTGTGTGTCTGTGTGTGTGTGCACATGCTACTTACTACATGGGTAAAAAAGTCTGTTGACTTCTAGACATAATTAGTGGGGCCTGGACAAGTGAGTGTGTGTGTAGTGTTATCCATGTGTCTGTGTATGTCTTTCTGTCTTGTAAGAGCAGGAAACTGAGGATTTATCTGGAGTATGGTGTGTGTGTATGCAGTACATACAGTATATACTGCATTTGTGTGTGTCCGTCTGAGGGCCACGGAGGACAGAAGCGTCTGACTGGAGTGAGAACACCGAGCTTAATCTGCAGCTCCATTCAGCTTTAACACACACTCACACACACAAACTGGTTTTCTGTCTGGGCCCAGTGTTTCTTTTGGAGTGGAGCTTGTTTTTGCCCACTGCCCTGCCTCCTCTGGTGCCAGACCGTGTCTTTCTCCCCTTTAAAGGTCCATTAACTCCCACTAGCTGTCTGTCCTTATACAGCAGCACTCAACAAGCAAAGGAAGTATCTGTCTGTGGCTGAAATAATGGACCACTGCTGTTTAGAATGTCAATTTTACAGGTACACTGTTGAACACCATGTTGAATCCTAATGGGCTGGAATGAAAACAACCAATCAGAGCCAAGAACGTAAGTTCATTGTTCATTCCCAGGACGTCAAATACAGACGCCAGTGGTGAAACTTTTGCTGCTAGAGGCCAGTAAATCTAAATAAGAATGTAATACACACTAAAAATATGCAATATAAATAAACATCTCGATATTTATTGTACAAACTCTAGTGCAGTATTGATTTTTAAGGTACTTGTCATGGGGATGAGTGGTTAGGCTGTACTTTAACAGCTGAGAAAACTTGTTTGTTACTCAGGACTATGTAAAGTTTCTTTGAACTGCACCTTTTCCCTTACATTAAAATATTACACAATATTAAGTCACCATCAACTAAACCCACTTTGTGGACATTAGCTAAAAGATGTAATGCTACAGCACAGCTAACGTTAGATGGAACAGTACATTATTGTGAAAATATAAGGACATTGAATAACATTGTTTGTCACAATCGCATTGCAACAGTAATCATAGTTTGCTAGTTAACAACGATTCAGTTACTTCTCAAACAGGCAAGAACTTTCCTCTTCCACGCATCAGGAGGCAATAAGTCCGCTGCTAATAACAGTCCGCCCTGTTTCAATATCAACATCCGTTGTTTGCTGATACCTCTCAGCCACCGTAGGAACATGATGTGTGGTGTCCAGTACTTGAGCTCATCTGACAAGGGATGAAAAGGGCTTTTTAATAGAGACAAACAAAACAAGTGTTGTATTCCTTAGTGAGATATGTGTGTGTCAGTGTTTTGATTTTAGTAGAAGACTAATGGCCATAGCTGTAGACATTCCCAGACCCTAAAAACACAGTACACCCACCTACAGTACACACACATAAACAGTTTGTCCAACCACGCTTGAGTGGTTCATGCATTTCAATTGGAGAAATCTATTAATTGGTTCGTTAATATGGAGCTGTGGCTAGCTGTTGTCTGCGTTTGGTTTAGCTTGGAGGCAGCTGAATGGCTGCAGTGTGGTTCTCAGCTCTCTATCTGTCCTAACTGGCAGATTAGACCAGGGCCGCTTTACACTGGGATAAATGAGCTGCTACCAGTTTAGTCTAATGTTATTGTAAGCCAGCAGGAGAAATGTGCACTTTATGGCAGTTAACACACACCAAGAGATTGGGTGTTGTTATTGTTGCTAACAAGGTGGAACGGATTTAACAGCGTGTCCATGCTGTCATGGGGAAAGGAACGTTCTGCTATGGCACATTTCACACAGGGCTCAGGTTCATTCTAAAGCTGTGTGTGTGTGTGTGTGTGTGTGTGTGCGCGCATATCTGTGGGTTTTTTGTTTGACATTTTGGGCTCTGCCAGCTGGAGCTCAGTGAAGTGCTGAGATGGCTGCTGGCTGGGTGATGTGTGCTGCAGGTGGAGTGTGCTGTATCCTCACAGGTGTCTGTGTGATTATGCATGGGTATTTTACTGGGTCCGCATGTGTTTGTGAATGTACATCACGTTTACTTTGCATTTTTGGAATTTACCTGCTGGTCTCTCTAGAGTAAACTGAGGTAAGATCAACAAAGATCAAGGTGAAAAGTAGGATAAGTATTCAAAAAGAGGCCTAAAAGATGGACAAACAGCACAATACTGCACGAGGGGTAAATGTACAGCCTTACAAAAGGGTTTGTGAATTTATCAGAATTGCAGCGTGAATTCACGTTCACAGTTTTCAGACATCAATTTATAGTAATAATAATAATATAATAACAACTTTATTTATATAGCACTTTTCTTAACAATGTTAAGAAATGTGGTACAAAAGAAAGAAAGAAAAATTAAAGCAAGTCAGATAAAATGACAATAAGGAACATAAGCAAAACAATGGAATGAATAAGAACAAATAAATAAGATAATAAAAACATTACAAATAAAATTATATCAGACATTCCCAAAAGCTTGCACCAAGAGAAGAGTTTTAAGAAGAGATTTAAAAAACCCAGTGATGTAGAGTTCAACCAGGCAGTGAGTTCCATAGTGGGAGACTCTAATGGAAAAAGCCTGATCGCCTTTTGTCACACAGCTTTACCTGGGGTGTATCTGTGGACCTCAAGGGTGGTGGGGGCACATACAAGGATAATAAATCAGAGATGTATGTGGGAGCAAGTCTGTTTAAGGCTTTAAAAGTTAGTAATAACATTTTGAAATCAATGTGAATGTTGACAGGGTGGCAATGTAGGGAGGCCAGCATTGGGGTGGTGTGTTCCTATTTCCTTATCCCAGTAACAAGTCGAGCAGCAGCTTACTGTACCAGCTGGAGACTGTGGTGGGAGCCCTGGGTGATACCTGATTAAAGTGCAATACAGTAATCAAGCCTAGAAAAAATAAAAGCATTTACTACTTTTTGCAGATCACCAGAGCATAAAAATGACCTCATTTTCTCAAGCTGGTTAAAATATATGACTGAACAACATTTTTGACTTGAGGTTTACATCAATTATTACACCCTAACCCTAACCCTAACCCTAAGATTCCTAGCGGCCTGATTAACATTATGTTGAAGACCACTGAGATTTGCTCTAAGAGAGCTGAAATTTGTTCTAATTTATCATCATTAAATTTCAGATAGTTTTGTGACATTTTACATAGGGGGAAATTTAGAAATGATTTAAAGTTTCAGTGCACCGGAATCACAGCAAAACATGTTTCCACTCACTCTAACCTCTAACTTAGTTCATAATAAAGAACAGACACATATTTTCAGAACTTACCAGATAGTCAAATTTCCTCTCTTACTTACTTTTTTGTCTGGTCGCTGTATAAATGTATTAAAAATAAAATACAAAGATAAAAAATGACTAAAATACAATAGATAAAATAGATAATACAGATATAACTATAGTGTTTAATAAAAGCTACACTGTAAAACCCAATGAGTTAGTTCAACTGAACTTGTTTGAGGAAACTGATTGCCTTAAACCGTTTGTCTATTCACTCAAACAATTTAAGCATTACATATATTTGATTTGAGTAGAAGTAACTCAAGTATTTATTGTTAAGGTAACTTGGATAAATTAAGTTAATTGTACCAATTCCATTCAGTTAATTGAAGTTACACTCATTTGCAGAATTTCTAAACTTATTTATAATGTCTGAACAGTGTATCCGAGTAAAATAACTTAAATACCTCTTCTTTATTACCACCAGGTTGAAAAACAAATTATTGGTTATCGGAGTAGCCCATTCATTTTCTGTGAGTTATTTAGATGTATACTGACAAAATTAAGTTCAAGAAAATGAGTCAGTGGAATGAACCGGAAATAAATCAGCTGTACTTAAAATACTTCACACATTTAAATGCATTATTAAACAAGTGAGTTGCTTCAACAATTCATTTTTGATTTTGGTTTAATTCATGTGAATGATAAATTATGTTAACTTACCTCTTATCAAGATTTAAGATACCAGGTTTTACAGTGTATACTAAAAACTCAATAAAATAGATTAAGAAGACAGACAAAAATAACAAACAAATAAGAGGGATAAAAAAGAAAATATTTTAGTAAAGAATAATGAAATTGTTGTAATAAATAAATAATAAAAGGAAATATAATCAAATAACTGACTAAAATAAGGTAAATAATGGTTGTGGTAAAAACCAACCAAGCCATTCCTAGTTAAAATCCAAGCTGAAGAGGTCTGCATCACCAAAGGTTTAGTCCTGCACTTTAGAGCTACTAAGAGGCTGGTGCCAGAGGATCTGAGGGGCCACACTGGTGCATACACTGTGAACATGTGTGACATATACAGGTATACTGTATAGACCAGATATAGTGCAAGACCATGAAGAGCTTTAAAAACAGGTAAAATAAAATAAACACTGTGACTAAGAGGCAACAGATGTCATGGTTTACAGGGACTTTTGTGACAATGGGTCAAAAACTTTTTAGCACACGTGGAAGAAGCAGAGGAAGCAAATTTCGCATTTCTGTCCCATTCACGTCACCCAGTTTGCGTCTTTGCATTGACTTTTTTAATGTAATCGACTTGCTTGTTTATCCGCATTTGCTTGTGAACGCACGTCTAGCCATGCAAGCAGTTTTGGGGATCTACTCTACTTTTGTGTTTTCTCACAGCTTGAGTATCACAGAGTCAACTGTTGGTTTGCAATAGTGCTAAGAGTTTTCTTTTACGTTGCTTTGCAGAAGCTGTGACGGCAAAAACATCCGCTACAGAGCCTGCAGCAACATGGTGAGTCTGATTTTCACTACTCTGTGTAATGTATGCTGCTACATTAATTTTAGAATCATAGTACAGAAATATAGGAATTTTATAGGAATTATTCTGTTGGGAGCAAAACAGGAGGTCAGTTGACGTTATTATACCTAAGAGTTACAAGCCTGTGTAGGGAGGAGGTCGGGAATGGATGGTTTAACATGGGAGACCATTTCCCATTTCTGAAAACCTAAAAAAATTAATACTTTATTCCCTGTGAAGCTATTAGCGCTATTAGTTACCACGACAAGAACCCTCCACAGCTGCCTGTTTTTACAAAAAAATATGTAAGGAAGCAAACAGCTTTCTGATTTCTGTTTCATGGGGACTTAATGCATATGAACACTGCCAATAGGGACATCTGGTCAGAAAATACTTAAGGGCTAAAGGGCTAAAGGGCAGTTAGAAACTGTGTATTTTGCTGTTTAATTTGGAGGACTTGTTATTGTTTTTTGTAAGCCGCACAAGACAACTCTGCAAGGGTGTATTCCAGCCTCACATATCCTGTAGTCTGAGTGATGCTTTTTGGAAAAGAATACCTATGTGACAAGAGTTTACAATACATACAAGTTTGAAGTACACTATGTACTTCAATTGAAATGTACAATATGTAATTTCGCCACAAGGCTTCTCAATCAAAACAATTAAACATAGTACGAAGTTTGGTTACGTTTGAAGTAGCGTGGCATCATGGGAACTGATGCCATTGTCTAGGTTTGGTTGTTCTCAAAGTGAATCCAGCCATTAGATGTATATTTTCATTCCACAAGATAACTCCACCATATTTAATAAAAACTACCACTGAGCCACCCCCACTGTGGGCCAGTCTGAGTTCACCCAAATTAAGAAAAATAAACATTTAAGCTGACGTTGATCAGTTTCCATTGAAGAAATAGTCCCTTTGAAAAACTGATTCTGAGAGTACCAGAATAAATGGGGTGTAATGTACATATTAAATTCATACATTGTTATATAAAATATGTAGGGTTTAATCAATTTAATCAATGCGTGATCAAGTGTTAGCAGTGAATGTGTTCATTGTAAAACATTTTTTACATACATAAAATCTCAGCTGAATCTTTTTTTTTTTTTTGCCATTTTCAACTTTGTTTTTTTTAATTGTTGAACCACAAGAGATTTGATGAGTATTTGATTAGATAAAATCGGAAAAATGCAGTCCTACCCCAACCCTATTCATGGTTCTTGCAATAATTATGTCTCAGTGCTCACAGTTCCCCTAAATTCTCAGTTTTTCTCCCAGCTTGCTGTTAAGGATGAGAATCTTATCAGGGAGCTCTGAAGAAGTTTGGTCTGGGGACACTATTATGTACTAGAACATGTCCAAGGACTGTATCTCTTAGCTTATATTTCCTGTCAATTTGGTAACTGGTAGGTAAGTATATGGAACTGAGTACTATGCAGGCATCAAACTCTGACTATTGGGTTTCAATTCAAATATGTGATGCACTGTATGTGTGTGAAGTAGGGAAATAAAGGACATGTGAATTCTTTAGCTCAAATTAATTCTGTTTAATTTTATAAGTGAATAATTCCTCCACCAGTCCATTCTGTAATATCAACATCGTCATTTGATCCATGGGATACCAACAACCGCAACCACCCACATGATGGTAGCTCTGCAGTACTGCACTTTCCCAAACCGCAGAAACACATCCAGCCTGTTGAAACAACCTTCTTAATCAGAGGAAGACTAGTCTTATTTATCTTCTTCCCCACTGAAGTGGTTTACTCTGGATTCATTGCAGAGCTTTAGTAACATCCAGTGGGAAATGTTCCCAGGATAATATTTATCCCAGCTCCCGTGTTCACACATGGAGCCTAACTCTGACTGAACTGAAGGCTCTGTTTACTGTGCTCCATATAGACGTCTGGAGGATTTGTAGACTGGCAGAGTGTGAATGAGTGAAGCTGATGTGTCAGACTAGTTCTCAGTCAGCGAAAAGAAGAGTTGCTATTGGCTGCCAAAAGTCTGCCAGTTGTCATCTGGAAGAACAAGCCTCTGTTATTGATCTGAGACAGTTTTTAGTCCCAAGAAGCATCAGGTGTTAAGTTGTTGACAGTTTTTCTGCAGGGTTACCTCCTCAGTAAGATAGGCTGGATTTCCAGTCTGAACCACACAAAAACATATGGAAGCCAATATTTTATTAACTACTTTGATATGTCATTTGAATTGACCCTTCCTTAGTCCCCCCCATTTTTGCTCTGTGCTCTAATAACAGTTGAGCATTGGTCAGAACTTTCTCCTCTCTTGTATTTAGATGTTGAAAAGAAAACATTTTGAAGATGGTTAAAAGATAAAAAGCAAAATATAGTTGCTGTGGAAAAATATGATGAGAAATGACATCAAGTTGAATTTCTATTCTATATCATGTTTGCTGTCTTAAATATCAAGTGTACAGTGTTAGGTATGGGAGCTCTTCTGTAGTAGTTTAAAACAAAACGATCAGGAACAGTCAGAGCACAAGCAGCCATTGGCTGTTAGAGTGGAGTGGAGGTAGAGCCAGCCGTAGGGATGTAAGACACCAACTATTACAGCTATTAGTCCAGGTGAAATGAAAAATGTCTTTTTAACCTTTTAAGATCCCATCCTTAGTTGTATTGTTCCCCTATTTAACAATGTATGCCAAATAATGTACTAAAAATACATTTCTTTGTATTTTTATATCAATATCTCATAATTTTGTCTCCCTGTAAAACAATGTGTGATGTGACTCGTGCTTACGTAAGCATGAAATTTAACTTATAGCGTGACAACCACTCGTCAATCAATCTTCAACTTTAGCGACACAGAGCGACTATTCATTAGTTAGTTAGCTAGCAATAGCTATAGCATGGCTAACTACTGGAGCAGGGTAACATGAATTATAATGAATTACTGTGGTGTCTCACTCTGACCGCTGTCCATGGATGTCGTTCCTCTCCTCAGGACTGTCCAGCAGAGTCAGGGGATTTCCGGGCCCAGCAGTGTTCAGCGCACAATGACATCAAGTACCAGGGTGTCACCTATGAGTGGGTCCCAGCACCTTATGACCCGTCGGCACCCTGTGCACTGCGGTGTCAGGCCAAAGGGAGAGGTCTCACTGTTGAGCTGGCCCCCAAGGTGCTTGACGGGACGCGGTGCCGGGCGGATGCCTTTGACATGTGCATCAGTGGAGTGTGTCAGGTAAGGGACTGTATTGTATATAGATCAGAAGGTGTCCATCCAGTGTCATCCACCCCTGATATGATGCACCATTTTTTCTCATTAGAGTGAAAAACTAGTCATTCTAGTCATGGTATTAGTCGGGATATAAAAATACACCTGTTGGATTATTCATTTTTATATAGACCAGAAGCCTCTGTTGAACACACTACATTAGATATTTTTTGGTAAACCCACAACTGTAAAGTTTTACTGTGTCTATGGTTAAAATAACTACTTAGTTAAAGAGCAACTAAACCCCAAAAGTACCTTTGCAACCTCTGTATATGGGTATTTAGTGCTGTTGATTAATTCAGGTCCAAATCTGCAAAGTATTCTACAGATATGCATAATGACTGCCCTCTACTGGTGAAACCCAGCTATTGCTATTGAACTTTGCAGTTAGCTGATCTAGAGGCAGGTGATGTATGGTGACATCAACCAACCCCTACTACTATAAAACGAATGTCTCCACTCTGCAGACTAAGGCCTGCTACCTAGCAGTAGCCTGACTCTGTGCCGCAGACATCGGATTTAGCCTCTCTGAACTGCTAGCTTAGCTAACGTTACAACATAGGCACCCAACAGAAACTTTTACAAACGACTGTAAATGTGCTTCTAGTGACTCTCTCTGCTTGCATCACAGACAGGGAGAGTCTGACAGCAGCTGCTCATTGCTGGTTAGCTCTGTTAGCTCTGAGTACCGGCAGCTGTCACTCGGGTGTGTGTTACCTCTCGCGTCACACACTCCTTACCTACATGGCCATGCCCTCTATTTGATTCTCTCTGCTTTATTTTATTTTTTATCTGCTAGGAGGAGAGAGCTAGCGGAATTTAGGTTTTAGTTTGGGACCTTTGTCGTCATGGTTACAATAACAGATAATGTGGTTAAGTTTAGGTAATGATTGTGGTTATGGTTGAAAGAAACCAGTGTTGACTGTTGGTTGGAAATGGTAAAAACAACAGCGGTTTCCAAGGTTGAAGTTCTGCGTTTTGGTGACCCATCGGATCTCCCTCTGAACTTTGTGGCTCTGTAATAACGTCAGCCGATTTCCTCGTTTGCTCCCGATGGACAAAAGTCATGACAGGTCTTTGTCACTTGAACGTAAACACATAACGCTCTCCTATTACCCTCAGCCATATTCTGTAGTCCAGTTTTGTCTTTGTTCTTTGTTCTGTGAGATACATTTTGAGTCCACATTACAGCCAATAATGTGATTCCACATGTAATGGCCTCTCATGAACTAAAATGATGAGCTGGAACATGGAAACTTTGGTCCCTGCAGTGTCATAATCATGTCACAGGCTCTATATTTAGTGTAGCTTTGTGTTGGGACTCAGAGTGGGATTTACTGCGGATGGCTTCTGCTCCCAGGTTGGCTGCTTGATTACAGGCTGTTTGTGACTGCATAACAGGAGGAGTGCATGTATCACAGTTGACAACCCATTTGCGAAACAATTATTTATATATACTCTTTGGTACATAGGTGATGTAGCAGAAAGTGGTAGTGTAGTGGATACCTATTATGAGCTACTGAGTGCTCTCGTCCAACTGTCAAGTGAATCTGGATGTGTTTCCTTCAGCTGTGGGAGTGGGAAACAAGTGTTTTCCATCTTGTTGTTGCGTGATGTTTGACCATATTTCATGCTGTTGAAAATAACAAATTACACAGCTATAACGGCCATACCAACCTGAACTGGTTCAAGACTTTTGGGAGGTTGTGGTCAACAAACTTTTTTTGTAACTGACGTTTAAAAACCGCGGCAATAAGTAAGGGTAAGGCAAGGGTAAAGGGAAAAAAAAGGCACAACAGAGGCAATTGTGGGTAGGGAACAGGATTATCTCCTCTCTGCTTCAACAGCCAAGATGATGAGGTAGCATCCTCAACAGATCTAGTAAAATATGCTTAGGCAAATCCAGCTGTCTACATCATACAGTGCAGTTCCATCAGTGGAAAAGGCAGCTGCGTTTACAATCTGACATTTGAAATGTCCCAATATTCTATAATGATATCTTAATACAGGAGTTGTAAGAGGCTTACACCTTTCCCCATCTGCAGTTGTCATCCTGAAGTATCACGCTACAATGGTATAGACATTTCCCCTCAAAAGTAAAAGGAAGGAAAAGGAAGAGTGCTAAGCTTTATTCTGCTTCCTTCTACTCAGTGTTGAGATAATGCATACATAATGTCAAGTAGCTGAAGGGTAAAGGAGCAGTGATGGACCAGGAGACATGAGTAGAAATAAAGTGTTTACATGTAGTGTCCTCGTAAGGAGGTAACGCTATTAAACTTCACTGTATAATTCACCAGCAGGCTCTCTGCGCCAAACATCTCAAATTTGACTATGTTATGAAATTAGTGGCAAAGGCAATCAATTCTATTCACTCTAAAGTTCTATACCACCGACAGTTTCAGCAGTTCTTGCTTGACATCCAGGCTGAATACGGAGACGTAATATATCACAACGATTTGAGGTGGCTAAGTCGGGGGACCGCACTGCAGCAATTTTTCTCTCTCAAAGAGGAAATTGGGTGAGAAGGGACAACCAATGGAAGAACTCTCCGATCCTGTATGGCTGGCAAATTTGGCTTTTTTGTTTGACATAACGAAGCATTTTAGTGCGCTGAATGTTAATCTTCAAGGGAAAGATGCAGTGGTGAGCCAGCTATACGCTCACATCAAGGCCTTTGGAACCAAACTGCAACTTTTCCAAAGACACTTGTCCCAAACAGAGCCCTGCACCGTGCATTTCCCAGCTTTGAAAGAGGTCATTGACAGTTTCCCACAGGACAACATCGGTGCGCAAATGAAGAGTTATGCAACAGTTATCGCATCTCTTTCTGTGGAATTTAACAAACGCTTACAGTTATTGAAAAGGACATGTTGCCTTTCTCTTCTCCCTTCTCCGTGGACCCTGATGATGCTCCTCCACAGCTGCAGCTTGAACTCATTGAGCTGCAGTGTGACAATGAGTGCCGTGGAAAACACCAGCAGTTTTCTCGTTGACTTTTACCGGCAGCTGGACAAAGGCAGGTTTCCAGAAATGCAATCATTTGCTAAGAAAATGCTAAGCTTATTCGGCTCCACATATTTGTGTGAGCAAACATTCTCAGTCATGAACTTAAACAAGAACCAATTGAGGTCAAGACTAAGTGACTCCCACTTACGTGACATTTTACGCATCTCAACTACTGCCCTCAAGCCAGACCTGGCCTCTTAACTGAAATCTAGATCTCAGTATCACCCTTCTCATTAGTGTCAACAAGTTATCTTTTCCTTGATCAATCTGAAATTGAGTATTTTAAACAGTAA